AAGTGAAGGGACCCCTTATGCTGAAAAGAATGTAGACTTAAGAACAAAAACGTTAAGTAATAATCGCAATAATAATCCTTGCATTTGATATGGTGCCTCGTCACGTCATCGAGACGTCTCAAAGCGCTTCACAGAATATACTGTAAAGCGAATATTTTGTGGGCTTAAGCGCTGCTTTCTTTCCTGCTGCTTCCACAGAATATATCTCAACCTCAACTCCGCAACAAAACACAAATGTCTCCTGTATGTGTGTGTCATTCGCCAGGTTTACGGTGAATGATAGTTGATTGAATATCGGGTATCAGTAGCTGGACATACATGAAAGCCCGGGGGAACCCATTGCTGTTAATGTTTATCTTGTGTTCTGACAAAGAGTGATAGAGTGTGGGAACAGGCCACTTAGTCGAGCTGGACCTTACCCACGGCTTTGCCACCTCCAGACTTGACTTCTCCAATGCTTTGGGCACTTTAATGTTCATTTGAACAGGGACCTCGATTAAACATCTCATCCAAAGGATGGCACCTCCAACACTGCAGTACTCCCCCAGTATTACATTGGAGCGTCAGTCGAGGATACGTGACTTCCCACGTGGTGGAGCTTGAACACACGACCTGCTGACCCACAGGTGAGAGTGCCTCTAACTGAGCCAGGCTGACGCCTTCAAACGTTAATAATCTTGCCTTGATTTAACCAAGATAAAGTATTGTTGGCAGCGTCTGAGGCGCTGAGTCAACAGTCAATCTACCTCTTCCACACCTCCTCTGTAAAACTGCAACTGCACAAAAAGATTGCGGGGCAATAAATTGAGACGGGGTAAATACACAGGTGTCCTGTGTTGCGCTGGAGTCTGCACAGTGTTTAATTTACGCTGCCTCTAATCTCTTGCTGGTCCAAGTGAGATCCGCCAGCTGTGATCCCAAGCGCGGGTGAGATGGCATCTGAATTTCTGGTGTCCAAACGATTGTCATTATTTCAAAAAAGATGTCTAAAAACCCCAGAATGGCAAAAAAAAAATCTCATTATCTTACAAATCCATTCAAATGACCTTCCCCGCCAGGCTGCGGGTAGCATCCAGGCAGCTGCCTGGAATTTAATTGCTTGATGAGCGGTCTAGGTACAAGAGTGTGTTGGAAGAGAGATTAAAACCCACAGGTACGCAACTAATTAAAATAATGTAACGGTGCTTCATGTTGCGCTGTGAGCTGCGGATCTTAAATGCACCTGACAGGAAACCTGTGACGCAAAATGTTGTTCCTCAGATGTTGCTCTTGTGTTGATTAAGCAGCTTTGACTCTGGTTGCATGTGTCAAGGACATGGGAATGTGGCTGGTGTTGCCCTGGCAACAAGTCACTATTTTCAGTGCTTATTAGAAATTTTCGCTGATCATTACGCCTCCAGAATCTGTGTCAAAGACATTCCAGAAGAACTTATTCAATGGAATTCCTCAATAAGCGGAACAGATGTTCCTATAACCGGAGATCCATTGAGCTGACCCATGGGAGCGCTGTTCTGATAGAACACAATACAGAATTGCGTTTGTACAACGCCTTTCTCCTCAGGAGGACATCCGAAGGCGCTGGGCAGTCAGGGATTTGGACCCATGCAGGGGAGGGGGTTCGGGTCAGGGAAGGCGGAGGGCAGTGACGGTAGGGGGTTGGAGGGTGGCTGAAGGTGCAGTCGGGAGATTGATGCAATCTTCCTCTTGCCCAAAGCTGCGGGAGTGTGGCGGGCGGGCGGGGCGGGCGTGGGGGCGAATCGAGTTTTTGCAAATACTGCAAATTCGGTTGCGTGTAACTTGCAGCAGATTGCGTGGAATATTGAGAAAATGTGCCAAGGCATCAGCTGTAGGGTGGGTTGACTTGTTACCCCATCACACAGAGCGTTGTCAACACACTCCACATTATCCAATATAAACGCGAGAGCTGTGGGGGCAACACAGTGGTAAACTGCCTGAAGTGTGACACGTAAATGTGTTGAAATGGAATGAATGGATCAAAAGAGTTTCTTCCAATTTTCTATAATTTTTCAGTCTCCAGGAAGCCTCAGCCCACACACTGCTCGAGATAAAGCACGGTCTTGTCTCAGGCTACAGCTGCTCATGTATTCTCAAATGCCAGACATCCTACTTTCTGAGGCGATGTGGGTGTTCCTTTCAGGAAGTCGGTGTATCGTAGTGTACATGTGTGCCTCGGAGACGACAAAACCTTAATAATGTATTCGACTGACGTGGAACTTGAATGGGATTTCTGAAGCGGAACTTTAGACGATGCATTAGGAGAAAATCAATGAACCCGCCTGTTTCTCAGGATTTTAGAGCGAGAGAGAGAGAACAGAGTATCGCTCAGCATTACTAAGGAGTCATTACACACTGAGAAGCTCGAAATAGGTTTCCACTTTGTTGTTGTTTGACGCCATATGAGGCCAGGCTTAAATTTCTGGTCAAGTCAGCAATCAATGAGAGATCGGCTCCACTCTCAAATCTCTCCCTTTTCCCCTTTGTTTTAACCATTAAAGGACGTGACAGCTTGTAAGAGACCACGAGCATCTTTGTTTGCATTTGCATAGCGGCTTCAGGCACTTTACGCTGTGTTTCGTAACGGCTGACGTTAACAATTTTCAACACGTTACTCAGCGTGTGTTAAACGTTTGCTGAATGCCGTAACTGTGAAGCGGTTTCCCATCGCTTTTGCCCACAAAGTACACAGCCACTTCACTTTACAGTGCATTCTGTGAAGCGCTTTGAGACGTCTCGAAGATGTGATAAGGCGATATATGAATGCAAGGATTATTATTATTATTATTATTATTGATGAGGCTCAGTCTATTCTCCTCAACTCAGTTACCTTGCATTGCTGTTGCTGTTAGGCCAGGGTTTAGTATTTGAGTTGGGAATCAATGTATACTCTAGAGATTAATATGATTACCTTCAGGGCATCGAGGAATGTTAATGCAGAATTTTGTTTGCCCAGGAGATAGTGTGTGGAAGGCTGATTGGCTGAATGGCTTTTTTTCTCATTCTATGCTCCATGTATCAATGCCCTTCACTTCAAAAATAAAATGACCCAATTCTCTCTTTCATCCAACATACTATACGCTGTTCTCTTCCCCTCCTCCCCTGTTCTTTCCAAAAATAGCTTAAAAGCACTTAAAACACTCAACCTTGCTGCACCTCTGTCTCTCTTGTCTTGTGGATCAAGAAATATTTCATCGAGACGAACTGGAAACGAAACATTGATTTGAAACAGATCTCTGATGAGTTGACGTGGGGCTTGAACCCACAACCTTCGGCGAGGGTGAGCCAGGGTAACACTGAGCTTTTCGTTTTACAAGGAGAGTTTGGGGGCTGTGGCAGCTCAAGAACACTGGTCAGTTCAGATAAACAGTCTTCAAATAAGAACAGAAAATGATTCCATTATTTCTCCACCTTTTTAATATTCTAATTCGTTCCAGATTTATGATAATCTATAATATTCCTTGCATTTGATATAGCGCTTTTCACGTCTTCTGGACGTCTTAAAGCGCTTCACAGAATATACTGTAAAGTGAATTGACTGTTTTGTGGGCGAAATTTGCATCAATTGAGGCAACCGTACACAGTTCTGCCCTCCGTTATCATCATTAACTTGCAGATGAGATCTTAAGAGTATTCAATATTTGATGAGAACTCTTAGGCGGTGCTGAATGCACTAATTTCTCCCAAGTGGAAATGCTGTGGTTTTAGTGGACGAACAGACTGAGTGCAAGAGAATGCCAGATACACGAGCGGCGGCTTCTTCCCGCCTTCATTGAGGAGGAAACTAAAAACAAAATCCTATTACATGTCCCAACACAAGGAGATGCTTTGCTAATCTGTCACAACAACCCCAGCAACAGAGTAGGAGAGGTTTAACCTCTTATAATAATAATAATATATATATATATAATGTTATTATAAACTTGTCCAATGTTTCGCCCCGACAATACTAGATTTAAGTAGGCATTCTATCCAGTTAGGGGAAGAATCAAAACAGTGGAAGGACTCGTTTAGTGTCTGGAAGTAAACTGGAGCACAGTCCCGGTTTGGTCTCTTTTTGTTCAAAGCTAATCTTTACAGTCAATTCAAGTCCGATGACCTAATAAGGCTCACTTCTCTGTGTGATTTGAAAAGGGGCCGTAAAATATATTGTGGCTTATCCTAACTGAAATCAAGGTGATTACAAGGCATTTTCTCTATATTTCGCTTTGGATCCATCCGTTCGTACCACTGGTCACATTCCTGATAAATTTAGCCTGACTGAGGATTTCACTTATTCTGAAGAAAATATGATAAATTTGCTGAATTGGGATTTTCCAGTTCAGAGAAAGGTTCTACTGTCAAAAAAGTGGGGGGAGAGGGGTGGAGAGGGAGGGGGGCGAGGGGGCATAGGAGGGCATGGGGTGGGAGGGGGAGAGGGGTAGAAGCAGAGAGGGAGAGGGGGGAGAGGGGGAGGGAGGGAGAGAGAGAGGGGGAGGGGGGTGGGGGGGAAGATGTGGGGGGGAGAAAGTCCAAGGGTGAATTAATCTAAGGTCCTTTCACGCTGTTCACAACTAAAGTAGAGTTTATAATAATAAATAATGATAATTAGCATAACATTCTCATAATGCCAATATTGGAACACCTCAAAGTGCTTCACAGATAAATCCTGTCACGTGTAGCGCATACGTATTTGCCGGCAACCACAGACCCCGAAATAGTCCTAAAGTGAATGACCAAGTTATTTATCTATCAGGATGATCGCTGGCCCGCAAAAAATCTCCGAGTGAACAGTTTAGACCGAACCATGGGACAAGTCACGAGGCATTATCTCACTGGATAGCAGTGTGTCATACTGAGCATCAACATGGAAGAATCGAACAATTTTAAAAGAACTAAAATTGTCTTTTTTTAAAATATATATAAACTTTTCATCTGTATGATTCGCGTCTCGGCGTCCCACACCAAGTCCGTTGAGCCGAGCGAGTAACTGACTGATGTCCTACCTGCATATTCAGGATCCACATGAGGAGGATAGAAGCCAAACTTGATGAATATTGGGATGGGGACTCCAAACTTAAACCACTCTACCACATAAGGGGGCTGCTGTCCGCTCACTGGGTGCACCACGTCACATCCCAGAATGATACTGTCACCGGCGCGAGCGGTCTCAAACTCTGGCTCTTCCCGTGCACTGTAGGTACCTGCAAGAAACAGTCAAACGTAAACTCCTCTGCAAATGCCATCGGGGCCAATTCCCTATCATTTTGTGCTGGAGTGGTTAATGATAATTTGAGGCACGTCTCAAGACCCCTCCCCTTCGACTGTACCTTCGACCACCTTCCCTGATCCCAATCCCATTCCCACTCGGGTCCAAATCTCTGACTGTCCAGCGCCTTGAGATGTCCTCCCGACGTGAAAGGCGCAATACAAATGTAATTTTGTATTGTAATAATCCTCGCATTTAATACAGCGCATTATCACGTCTTTGCAACGTGTCTCAAAACGCTTCGCAGAATATACTGTAAAGTGAATTGACTGTATATTTTGTGGGCGAAACACGGCAGCCAATTGCGCACAGCAGCGTCCCCACAAACAGTCGTGGATTGAGTGACCAAATTGTTATATTATTTTTTTTTGGTGATCCATCAATCAATTAACAACCGGGTTCCACAAATGGCCTTACACCTTAAAAGTGTGAAGAAAGCGTCATGGTATTTCACAGTTAATCATTGGCATCAATTCCATTTTCATCATGGTCATTTGTGTGCCCGCTTTCTGATAGAGAGAATATGCAATTTAGTTTAGCATCGAGAAATGTTCTCTTGCACATCAGACTGCACAGTAGTGATGATTATGGACAAAGACACGCAGTTCTTTTATCATTTATAATTTAGTTTATCCGTCTTAAAAAATAGTCCCTCTTAACTGAAGATTACATTTCTGGGTTGTGTGTCATATACTTCAAAGCAAATTAAGATTTTAATGAGTATTACAAACACTAATAATCCCAGCAGTTTCCCCAACACACATTCTGGGGTCGCCAAGCCTTGGCTCTTGCCGACCTGCCCTTAATATGCTCTTAGAATTACATGCACAGAGTATGTTCCTCCGGGGGGGAAAGTGCGTATTCCATTCCAAACCCAGGGAGCTTTCCATGTGTACGTGGCGTACATGTGGGCAACTCTCAGTCTGGTTTGGATGATTGCAAGCACAGCGATGGGTTTCCACGTGTGCCAGACACCCGGATGCCACAAAGAATCATCAGCCGCGCCTGGCAATTCACTCCACACTTAAGACAATCCTCGACGTCGGGTTTTTTTCCCCCTAACTTCCCCTTCCACGCACCCAATTCTAACGCTAAATTCACGTTCCTCTTGTCCCTCGAGTTAAATACAAGCAGAAATGGTTCCTCGCCAGTTATTTTTCAAAGCCTATCAATCCCTTAAAGTAGAAATCAAAGGGGGAAGGAAACACGTAATACAGGCTCTCAGTGTTGTGCCTTCTCTATTGGACGTAAAAACAGGCTTGATTTGTGCCGTGAGGCTGAAACATCTCAACTTGTAATGAAAGCCAATTATTGCCACAAAGCGGTTGAATGGGGTGAAGCCATGTACTGCTGCTGCTGTGTGTCAACTCCCGCTGTGATGCTGTCTTGGTTTACATGCCCCACCGTATAAATGGTGCACACAAATACCGCTGTGCATGAAACAGGAACAGAGCTATCTAAAAAACAAATGCTCTCAGAGTCAGCTGGGATCCCGTCAGTAAAGCAGAAGAAACAGCCAGCCGCTTGCGACTCTTCGTCCAAAGGTTCATCTAAGTTTGAGGGACTTTGGTGGCCCCAAATTGCACCAATTGCAACTTTTTTTTTCTTGCCTCTGAAAGAATTTTAGCTTTCTTCTTTTGAATGTCAAAATGCTACAATAAGCGTAATTAATCCATGAGCTGCTTTTCCGCGCGCACACTGCTTCAATCCACGCTTAGAGCAGAGCCACAATGAGCGCTCGATAGAGAAAAGGCCACTGTATAAATCCAAAATGCAGCTCAATACATTGCTGTAGCTTATCTGCTTTTCATTAGCTTGAGGCGAGGCTTTTCATCCCTCCACTAAAACAGCCATTAATCCCACAGAAACAGGGAATAATAAAGATGATAGCTTTTTAGTTCAGGCTGGAAGTGGCTTCTGAACCCAGGGACCTCTGCTGCTTTGTTCACCCCATTGCCTCCAAAATCCATTGGTGCTGGAGTCAGTCACCCTATGGATGAATATAATGATAAAATAATCCTTGCATTTGATATAATACTTTTCACGTCAGGAGGCCATCTCAAAGCGCTTCACAGGATTTACTGTAAAGTGTAATGACTATGTGTTTTGTAGGAAAACGCGGTACGGTACCATAATTATGGGAAAAACAATCTTAACTAAAGTTTGACCAAACTGAGATCTGGGAGACGCAGAGAAGGCAATGAGGGTTACATTGCCTTTAGGAAATGTGACGACACAAGTGGAAACGAAATATTGATCTGAGGGCTGATAACAACATTAACTGGACACCAAGCTTTTATTTTACCAGATTAAATAGTTTGTCATGAGCTGATCTGTACCCGAATCAAGAAGAATTGAAGCTCAGTGAGAGGAAAGAAAAGGAATAATCACTGTAAAGTGCAACTAATTTAAAGAAAGACTTATTACCCTCTTTGCGCTCATGCAATCCAGATAGACATCTATTTAATAAAAGCCCTTTCAACTATAACATCTTACCTTCAAGTCTTTTCTTTGATAATGATGATGTAAAGGCTAATAATATTGTGTTCTGCCCATATAATCGCTAGAAATGGAATTTTCATTAGATTCATTGCACTAAAGAAGTTACAAAAAGATTGCCATTTTTAGCAATCACTGATGAAATGGCCAGTGTGAATTATACCCACACGGAATGAGTCAGTTTACTAGTTAATGCGCACTGTTCTATCTATCGAGGGCATCCATTCCTCTCACTGGCTGTTGTCTTTGTGTTCTCTTTTGGTCAGCCGGGTGTCTGACACATGCGGAAACCCATCAGCATGCTAAGGTGTATCCAAACCAAGCCGAGATTTTGATGCATCCCGGCTACACACGGAAATCCCAGAGCTAGATTGTTGGAAGGGAATGTGCACGCTCTCTCTCTTTCTCTCTCTCTCTCCCTGGAGGGTCGCATTCTGCTTACCTAATTCCGGCAAGTATTAGGTTGGCAAGAGCCAAGGCTTGGGGACCCCCAAGTGTACCCTGGGGTAACTGCTGGAGTCTAACCAACTAAAACCACATGGCTTGCCATTGATATTGCTGTGTGGCAAGCTTTCCCACTGCTTGTCCAGCTAGGACCACCCTATCCGTCAGGGCTTTGGCTTGTCTTTGACCGGGTGAAAAGACTCACTACTAATGCTCTAGCTGTGAAAGCTACTGAACAGGAAACGGTTAATGGTGGAGGAAAGCTATGTTGAGTGTTACATTTCCAGATTTTCTCATCACATTCAACCGCCAAGTTAAACTGATATTATTTAGAGTATTTTGAAGCGTTTTAATGCCTTTACGCTTCATGAAAGGCAGTGGGTGAAAGCAATTATCCATCAGTCTAGTGTAATGGAAGGGAACACATTATTACAGGAATTTCTTCTGGTATTGAAATAGTAATGATGGTGTAACATTGTGCTACGAAGCAAGCCCCTATGTAATCTGATATTCCTTACATTATTGGAAATAAAAGAGGAAATTATATGTGTAGAATTATGTTCTGTCGTCAAAAGCAAACATGACCAATGAATATGCCTGCTCTGAAGAGAGACTGGGGTATGGACACAACAGGTTATCCAAAAAGCAGTGCAATTTTACGTGAAGATGGAATGCAATTCAAGGCCTAACCGCCTTGATGGTGGGGCGGGCCGGGCGGGGGACATGGAGCAGGCTGGAGTCCGCTGAGCGGAGAGCTCTGTATGGAGTTAGCGAGTCACATTGGTAGAGAGGAGCAAAGCCATGGAGAGCCTTGAAAGCGAGGAAGAGTATTATGAGTATTTTAAACTCTATCCTCTGGGGGGATGGGAAGCTATATAAATGCAAGTTGTTGTTGTTGTAGCCTCTCTCAGAATAGGTAATTGATCGCTATCGAACTATCTGGTGTTAACTGCTATTATATTAGAAATTTTTAATAGTTTGTTGTACTGTAGATCTTTGAAAGCCTGTTGTACGAAGTCTTGATTTTTCTTAAGTAAAGAGTTATTGATTTGAACCATTATTCGATTGCTTATTGTCTCGTAAACAATCCTACGCATCCTTCGAACCCACGGCAAATAAATCCACGGACTAAGCCTGGGGCAGCCATTGTGGACCATGTCTAAAGCTAAACCTGGCTCACGGGCAATGTCTTGCGCCAGTTCATAATCTTCACCAACACCATGTTCACCATGTTCGAGGATTGACCCATGTGCAATGTACTCTATTACACGTCTGACACAGAGCAGCCTGTGGACGACTTCAGTTGCACCTACCGTGTGCCAATGGGATTCCATTAGCAACAGCCTCTGATTGCCAAGTAACAGTAGAGGCGGCTTGCAGAACACACGGCATCGAGCTAATGGACTGTTGTAAGGACCAGACTGTAAAGCTCACAGCGCCTAACTGCCCAACTGGCAGGACTCACATTACCACGTGCTACTTTCTGGGATTAAACCCTTGCGGGCTTCACCCTGGGATGCAACAGGCACGCAGCCAACAGTCTTGCTGACTCTCAGCGCAGCCTGAGTCTATACTGAGACTGTACCTGCCTTTCCTTCTGGTGCGTAAATGAACTGCCATATGGAAACTGGTGCCTGAGCTCGCTGAGAACAACAAGCCTTGCTGTGCTTTGGCAAATCTTTCACCATATGCTGCGTTAACAGGTGTTTGAGTGTTGTAAATAAATAAGAGAAATGTTTATTACATTGAACCGACCGCTGAAAAAGCTGAATGACTAAGGAGCGTTTAATCACAAAGCGTGTGATACAACGCAAAACTTCTTACATTAAGTAACAGTAACTTTGCCTCCCCCGCTTTTCATTGAGGGCCATTAACGGTGACTGACAAGCAACATTTAACACAACTTGAGTGTTGTACAGCTGCCAGGGATGAGATAAGGAGCGGCAGAATGTAACAGTTGATGGGTTAGATTAATTGGGTGTAACGTGCTAA